TCCAGCCAGACCATTTTCCAGTGTGTCAGGTGCTGTATTTCCATCCAGTGCTGGGGGACTGAAATAGCTTTGCCCTGGGTACCGTCAGGGCACTGCCATGCTGGGCAGACGGGAGATTGGAGCCTCTCTGCACTGCTGCAGCTCCCCTCCCTACTCTGCACTGGAGAGTTTATCCTCCAAAGCATTTGTATCTGTAACACTTCTGCCAGGTCGAGGCACCAGCAACATGGGCCGGGTTTAATGTCTAGGGCTTCCTCTTAACAATACAAAACAGAACCGCCTCAAGCCCCCACGCAGCAATCTGGGAAAATTTAACACCACTCCTGGGTGCCTGTAAGAGGCAATACTTCCCCTCTGGCAAGCGCTGGGTCTGTCTAACGAAAGAGAACTTTTATTAAAAGGCAAAGGGAGCCAAGCGTTAGTGTGAGAAAACACCACAACCGCTTTCAAAAGCAAGTGACCATCAGCAAAAACCCACCCCCACGGCACGTTGGGCAGTGTCCTTTGCCTCAGTTTCCCACCTTGCGGTGTGAAAGTCCAATGAACAATTGCTCCCCTCTCCCTCTGCTGCACCGCACTCACCGAGGACTGTCCTTGCTTAGCGAAGACCCAGAGTTCGGAGATGTGGTCACAGGAGCCCGCCCCAGGGGGGCATCATGCAATGCCTGAGCGGCTGCTGCCTCTCCCACGACCTCCCATTCTGAGGTTCCACCACGTGCCCCAGCGTAGTCATTTCAGCAGGTCGGGGGGGGCCTGGCGGCCAGGGCAGCCTCGGTGTTGTCTTTCACTGTCCCCACACAGGGTCTAAGGCTCAAGTCCCTCAACGTGCTTAACCATGAGAACAGCTCGAGTGTAGGAGCTGGATTTTATAATGTACTATGAGAATTAATGTATGATTTGATTTCATCCTGTCAGCCACCCTTTTTTGAATAGCAGAAAGGAATGACAGACCAGAACAATCCTTATGACTGATTATGGTCATCCTTTTGTTTTAGAATAAGTTATAAAGCTACTATGGTTTCCTATGTGTATTACAAATTAGGAAGTAAGAGACAGGATTCTCTATTGTGTCTATGTTAAGTAGATTAGCGGAACATTGAAGGCCTGGGTCTCAATGTAAATTGTCTTGGTTATTGATTGTAAAACTTAGCAAGGTTTAATTTGCAATGCCCTGTTGCTCAATATAAAATACTACTGTTTGTATTCTCAATCTGTTTGTGTGAATGAGGAATGTATGCATCTGGAAAAGATAAGGTGTGACGGCCATTGTTATAGCCAGAGTCAAGGAAGAAGGAGTGAAGAAACTTAAAGGACATCAAAGAATCATCAACACGTATCCATAATGAAGGGCAGATTGAAGACCCTGAGGTAAAGGCTGGCACCCCTAAAGACAATTGATTAAGACAATTGATTAAATCGGAACAAAGGACAGGATGACCCTCTCGGAGGTGTATTGAAATGTTTACACCAATTAAGAAGTAACCGGTCACAAAGTGACACAGCAGAATCCATAGACTTCAACAAAGAAGAAAACCTATAAGAACAGGGTGCTTTGCCATAGGACTTTGGGTTCGTCTTGCCACACTCCAGGAGCATCGGATCGCGACCGATAGAGCCCCGCTCCCCTCTGCGACCAATCTGGCTGGCCACTAGATTTATCCAGACTCTGGACTGGTAACTATAAACATCACTGCAGGACTGTGTGTGTGTGTCTAAAAAGCATATGCTAACTGTGGTATTCTCAATAAACGCTGTGTGTATTTACCTTCCTCTATAAAGATCCTGTGTGCTTTGTATGAGCATAACACGAGGAATCCCCAACCCCAAACGAGGACTCTTAATGGAGCTCTGGCACTAAACCCCAGAACGGAGCAGATCAAATGGTGGCTAGGACTCTTTGCACAGCACCCACACGGCCAGGTGAGAACACCTGCCCCCCACCCCCGCTCCCATTTTTACTGGGATTTGGCATCCCTTCCCCCCTGCTTAGCGAGTGAGTTTAGGGAGACATCCCCCGCCCCCCCTGTCAATCAGGGCAGGCTAAGTACAGGTCTGCTGCTCTTTCCTCAGACAATAGGGCTAACCACATTGCCTCCCCCCTGCACACACAAACACGGAAATCCTGTAACCAGCACCAGCCAACATGGATCATTTTGACAAAGCGGCTCCATCACGCTGCGCACCCAGACAGAGCAAACCCGGGCTGCTCCTGACGTCTTTGCTCCCAGCTCAGCACTCGGTCAGGGGAGAGCCCAGTCATTGACACCGCTCTGAAATAGCAAATGTTTTCACCATCGGCCAAACCTGCTGCCTCCCTGCCCCATGGCTGTGCTGCTAATGCTCCCACTCAGCCCCCCGCAACCCACACTAAAGGTGGTGGCACTGCGAGGGTTAAAAAAACCTAATCAAACGCGCTGCAGGGCGGGAATGTTTATTGTCTCATAGACAAGCATAAGCCTCAAATATTTATACACACAGTATAGTGCGGCTAGATAGAGGGGGCTAGATGAGAATGGATATAAGGGTCTATATGGACTCATAGGTCAAGAGGCCAAGGTTAGGGAGGGCCCTGGGATGTGGGGATCAGGGGGGGCAGGGAGGGCCCTGCGCTGTGGAGGTTCTTGGGGAGGAGCTTCCTCTTAAGTTCCCTTTCGTCTCTCCTGGGTTCCTGCTCTCCCCGATCTCACCCTTCGCCCCATGGGGTGTCTCTCTCGTCTCTAGCACCAGGTGGTATGGAGGGGAATTGGGGCCGGTAATCTGGCTGGGGGTGGGGGGCTGTACAAGCTGCAGGATGACCTGGCACTGGAGACGTCCATCAGATATGTCAGCCCCCCAATCCCTTACCCCTCCCCAGCACCCCCAGCCCAGCGCTCCGATCCCTGCTCTGCCCACCCCCAGCACACACTGATATTTACAGAGATGGGGGGTCTGTAACAATTTCCACTCCACCTCCCATCCCCTCTTCCGTTGCTCAGGTGGGAGCAGCCTCCTCTGGGGACCCAGCTGAGAACGGGGGTCTCATTCCAGGCATGAGCTGCCCCTGGCCCCCTCTCAGTTGTGCTGAGGAACCCCAGCTTATCCTACTCCCCTCCCAGAGCCAGACCTAGGAGTCCTGATTAGCTCATACACTCCTCTCGCCTGCCACTGAGATGCAGCCACCTCTGGGGTGTGTCACAGGGGCTGTTTATACAGAGATCCCTCACCCAGTGCTGAAATGCAGCCATGGGACGTGGGGGACACAGGGCAACACTGCCCAACAGTTCAGGGGCGGAAATGAAGGACACTTCTCTGTCCAAGTGATACCACAGTGGGGAACTGGCTGGGTCAGGGGGATGGGAAATGAGATATGGGGCCTTTCCCTTCTAGGAGGGGTTGGCTCCAATCTGGCCCCAGAGTGGGGGAGCGGATTATGGAGTCTGTCCCCTCTAGGGGTGCTGCCTCTGATCCGGACCTAGGGCTGGTGAGATTTTATCTCCTCTAGTCCCCTTGTGAATGGCTGCTGGTTTCCCTTTGCATTGTAGCCTCAGGAACCCCAGTTACAAGCCAATGATGGGCCGCGTGGGATTGGCACTGATGAGGAGGAAGAGGGTCACACAGAGCGGCTCAGTGCAGATGCCTCCGCCCATGAGCGACCAGACTGTTCCTCACCCCAGGCCCTAGACTGTGGCTCTGTTGTCCTTCTCCCTCTATCCATGCAGGGCCATACAGACCTCTCTCTCCATCCCCATACAGACCCTTATCTGTGCAACCCCATAGACCCTTATCTGTGCATTCCCCACACTGACCTCTCTCTCCACCCCCATACAGACCCCCTCTGTCTATCCATGCAGCCCCATTCTGAAAGCTCTGCTCTAGGGATTATTTGGGGACAGTTCTGACCTGCTCTATGCAGGCGGTTAGATGAGATGATCACAACGGTCTCTTTGGGCCTCGGATTCTGAATCTATCCCCATTTATTGCCCTAGTGTCATAAACATATAGCTAAGGGGAGCATAAAATCCCTCTTTACGCTGTAAAGGGTTCATTCCTCTTTCACCTGTAAAGAGTTAAGAAGCTCAGATAACCTGGGTGGCACCTGACCAAAAGGACCAATAAGGGGAGAAGATACTTTCAAATCTGTGGGGGAAGGTTTTGGTCTGTGTCTCCTGGAGTCAACAAGGAACCAGGGCAGGGAAAATACATTTCCCTAAGCCATATCTAAACTAAGCATCTAATATTGCAGAAGTAGTAAGTAATAGCAAAGAAATGCGTTAGGTTATCTTTTGTTTTAGCCTGTAAATTTTCCCTGTGTTAAGAGGGAGGTTTATCCCTGTTTTTGTAATTTTAAAGTTTTGCCTAGTGGAGAAATCCTCTGTGTTTTTGAATCTTTTGTTATTCTGTAAAGTACTTTCCATCCTGATTTTACAGAGGTGATTCTTTTACCTTTTCTTTCATTAAAATTCTTCTTTTAAGAACCCGATTGATTTTTCATTGTTCTTAAGATCCAAGGGTTTGGGTCTGTGTTCACCTGTACCAATTGGTGAGGATATTCTTCTCAAGCCTCCCCAGGAAAGGGGGTGCAGGGCTTAGGGGGATATTTTGGGGGAATAGGACTCTAAGTGGTCCTTTCCCTGATTCTTTGTCTAAATCACTTGGTGGTGGCAGCGTACTGTTCAAGGACAAGGTGGAATTTGCGCCTTGGGGAAGTTTTTAACCTAAGCTGGTAAAAATAAGCTTAGGGGGTCTTTCATGCGGGTCCCCACATCTGGACCCCAGAGTTCAAGAGTGGGGAAGGAACCCCGACACCTGGTGTGGAACATTTTCCCATGTGGCTCCATGGAAGACTAAGAAGATGAAACAAGTAATAAGGGGAATGTGACTGGGAGAAAGAATCTCTGACACTCCCCGCCCCCGAACACCGATACACCCACACAATGATCCTATGCACAGGATACACACACAGAGGGCCCCGATTCCCTCCAGCAGGGGGCAGCACTCTGCTCTCCCTCTTACACACACAGTTTTATTCAAACGTGGCTTTTATTCTGTAATACCCATGGATACAGCAGTGAGCGCACGCTGGGTAGAAATGACCCATGTGTGCCAATGCCCGCTGGGCACCGGACAGCAGTGAGAGTGAAGAAGCATTTTGGGCTTATACAGTAAAAGAAAAAAAAATGTGACCCTGATACAATCCTAGCTCAGCAAGAAAACCCACCCGGGCCCTGCCTGCTCCCCCAGCAAGTAAGCTGGGACCAGCCCCCCCAGAAGGGAAAGGCCACTGGCCCACTGCCCACAGTTTGAGCCAGCCAGTGCTTAGGATGGATCAGACCTGGCGCCCCTTAGAGGGGCAAGGCCCTGTGTCTCATTCCCTGAGCTCTTCTGTCTCATCACCGTTATCGCTGGCCTCTTTCAAACCAGAAAGCTCTCTGCCTACAATCCCTCTCCCCCCACAGGACCCATTACTCTCGGCCCCCAGGCTCTCTGGCTCTTCCGTCTTCCCGATCCTGTCTCCAAGCTGGAACAGAGCCCAGAGTGCTGTCATGAACGCTCCTTAAAAGAGCCCAAAATTACAATAAATACTTAACGCTTCAGCATAACTGAGTGTATAAAAAGCAAAATAAAAGACAAGACACATTGTGGAACACGGTAGGGGCCCCATAAGCAGGCAATCACTCCTCCACACACCAGCGTCCCCTAGAGGGGAAAGGCCTCCCATCCTGTTCCCCACCCCATTGTCTCTGTGGTGGCGCACAGGGGCTGTTTATACAGAGATCCCGCGCCTGGTGCTGTGATGCAGCCACCTCTGGGGCAGGACGCAAGGGCTGTTTAACAGCCACATAGTGTTGGAGATGAGGATTGTTGGTGCCAGTCTGGAGTGACCCCCACTGTGTTTAAACAGCAACACATCAGCATGAGTATAAAATACCTCCCTTATTTGTGCTTGTAATAAACCCCTTCCTCCCCAATTATCTCCCACCTGCCCCATTTTACACCCCCCATTCCCCACCCACACACACCCCCAGCCCAGAGCTGAAGACACTTTGTGATCCTATGACATTTCAACGGGAGTTTTGGAAAAAATAAGCCACGCCCCCCTTTGCTGTGCCCAGGGGCCGGGACTTAGCCCAGACAGCCACACCCCATTGAAGGCAGGCTTTAGCCCAGTGGCCCTTCCTCTCTGCCCCCCACGGCCATGCCTTCTTGTTGGATGAGGAGATCCATGACCAGTGCCCATCCCCTGTGGGCCTGGGGTTCAAATTCTGCTTAGCATGGGGGCGGGGCCTCCAGGCGGCTTGATGGGGCAAGACCTATCAGCAGCATGGGAGGAATGGCAGATGTGCTGCCCCCTGCCGGTTGTGGGTGTGGCTCTGAAAGAGGCGGGGCTTCCCAGGTTGGCTTGGAAGGCGTGGCTTCCCCAGCCTTTGGCAATGATTGACGTGGCTGTGCTGGGGGCCATGGCCTTTCCGTCGCCCACTCAGAGATGATGGGTGTGGCTATGCCAGGTAAGGAGCCTGCCGGGGAGTTGCCTTGCCATGGGGGCCCCCCTGCCAGGGCGTGAATGTGCCCAGGGCATGGCCTGCTGAAGTGCGGCTGTGGGGTGGGGCGTGGCTTGCCCACCATGGCTGGGCCAGGGGCGGGGCCTGCGGGGTGTGTGGCTGGGCCTAGGGGCGGGGCCTGCCCGGACAAGGGCGTGGCTTAGCCAAAGAGCTTGAGGAAGCAGGGGTGGCAGTAGGGCTTGTCGTTCTGCTCCTTGAAGGTGCCCTTGTTGAGCTGTTTGAGGCAGAAGGCGCAGACGAAGTGCTCGGGGTGGAACTTGCGGGCCATGGCGGTGATGCAGCGCCCGGCGATGGGCTTCTCGCAGCCCCAGCACAGCGAGCCCCGCTGCTTGTGGTAGTGCGTCTCGCAGAAGGGCCGCCCGCCGTGCTCGAAGAAACTGCCCTGCAGGAACGGCGCGTAACACTCCTGGGGGGAAGGGGCAGGAGGGGTGAGTGCACGCGCCACACCTCCCACACGCTGCCCCTGCTTCCCTCCCTCGCCTCTCCCTGCGTCGCCCCCTCCCCTCGTCCCTCCTCCCAGACTGCCCCTCCCCATATTCTCTCCCCTCATTGCCCCTCCCCCTCTTGCTCCCGCAGTGCCCCTCCCCTCACTTCCTCCCACACTGCCCCCTCCCCCATCCACTCCCCGCATGCCGTCATCCCCCTCATTGCCCCTCCCCCTCTTGCTCCCACACTACCCCTCCCCTCACTTCCTCCCACACTGCATCACCCTCTCCTCTTGTCCCTCCTCCTACACTGCCTCCTCCCCATCCACCCTCCGCATGGCCCCCTCCCCTCATCTCCTGCATTGCCCTTCCCCCTCTTGCTCCCGCACTGCCCCTCCCCTCACTTCCTCCCACACTGACCCCTCCCCCATCCACCCATCCCCCGCATCACCCTCTCCCCATGTCCCTCCTCCCACACTGCCTCCTCCCCATTCACCCCCACATGGCTCCCTCCCCATATCCCCTGCATTGGCCCTCCCCCTCTTGCTCCCGCACTGCTCCCTCCCCTCACTTCCTCCCATGCTGCCCCCTCCCCCATCCATCCACCCACCTCCCTCCACATTGCACCTTCCCTCTGCACTGCCCCCCCATTTCCCCGCTGCCCCTCCCCCACTTCCCCTGCGCTCCCCCATTCCCTCCCGCCCTGGCACTGCACATTCCCCATACTCCCGGCACTCCCACCATCCCCCAGAGTGCCCCTCCCCCATTCCCTCCACGGTCCCTCCTCCCCCAACCTTGCACTGCCCCTTCCCCACTGCCCCCTCCCTTCCAGCTGTGCCCGGGTGGGGGGAGGGCTCACCCTGCAGACGAAGCACTCGGGGTGCCAGAGGGCGCTGAGGGCCGAGATGTAGTTCTCCAGGATGGCCTGGCTGCAGCCCTGGCAGCGCGTGGAGAAGAGCTCGTAGAAGTCCTGGCGGCAGTACTGCTGGCCGTCCTTCTCGTGGAAGCCTGTGGGGGGAGACAGAGAGCAGGGTCCAGTGGGGTCCTCAGTGACCGGCCACACTGCAGCAGGGTCACTGCAAGCGAGGGGTCTGAGTGCTCCCACAGAGAGGATGCAGTGGGGGGCAGTGCTAGTTGGGGGTGCTGGTCTCTGTCAGGCAGTGGGGGGCACTGCTAGTTGGGGGCCAGTCTCTGTCAAGCAATGGGGACAATGCTAGTTGGGGGACTGGTCTGTCTCACGGAGGGGTTCCTGGGGCACAGCCTAGGTCCCCTCAGATGTGGGGTGCAGTGGGGCGGGGGTGCTCACTCACCTTCCTCCCCAAAGGGCCTCCCACACTTCACACAGCAGAAATGCTCCGGGTGCCAGTTCTTGTCCAGAGCTGTCACCATTTTCTGGAAGGGACAGAGTCAGGGTGTGACACTCTGTACCTCAAAATAGCATCCCGGCCCCCCCGATATTCACCACTGCGATATGATGATGAGGTGTTTTGTACAGAGTATGCCTTGTGAGGTATCATTTAAAAAGTCTTGAGCCATTGAACATTGTTATCCCATTGGATTGGACGTGTGATCCTTGTGTCTGAAGTTATGAAGCTTTGCTACGTGTGTGTTACTGGAATATGTGGTGAGGCTGGGAATCGCCCACAACTGGCCTTTCAGTGGCAACAAAGAATCATAGAATATCAGGGTTGTAAGGGACCTGAGGAGGTATCTGGTCCAACCCCCTGCTCAAAGCAGGACCAATTCCCAACTAAATCATCCCAGCCAGGGCTTTGTCAAACCTGACCATAAAAACCTCTAAGGAAGGAGATTCCACACCTCCCTAGGTAACCCATTCCAGTGCTTCACCACCCTCCTAGTGAAAAAGTTTTTCCTAATATACAACCTAAACCTCCCCCACTGCAACTTGAGACCATTACTCCTTGTTCTGTCATCTGATACCACTGAGAACAGTCTAGATCCAAAGGAGCGCCTAGTAAGACAGATTTACATCAGGACCAGCCAGACATGTGTTGATGGTCCATTAAGGGGAATCGACTCGTCCAGTGGCCATTCCAGAGACTGCTCAGAGAGGGCACCTACCCAGTGAAAGCCACCTAACCCACATCACAGCAAGGATCATTCTGGCAGCTGGAGGAAAGTAACAAAAGAGGGAGAGTGACATCATCACTTGGCCTCTCTCCTCCCCAGGGGTGAAAGTAACTTAAAGGATTTACCGTTATGCCGGAGTCCTGAGTGGGGGTGTGGCCTCACCCGGAAGAGGCGGGGCCTTTCAAGATTTAAAGGCCCTGGGGCTCCAGCTGTGGCTGGGAGCCCCACGGCCTTTAAATCACCCCAGACCTACCAGCTGCAGAGGCGGATGGGAACCCCGGGGCTCAGGGGCGAATTAAAGGGCCTGGGGCTCCGTCCGCCTCTGCATTCTATAGCCTCACCACACATGCTGTTAGGTCTCACTGCATGCAGTCACTACATACAGTACTGCCTTGCATTGTGTTTCACTGCACTCAGTCACTGCATTGCTCACATTGCACTCTATAGCACTATACCACAGTATATGTCACTGCATTCTACAGTGCTGCACTGCACCATGTGGCACAGGGCTCTGTCACACTGTGTATCACTGCATGCACTGCATTGTGTAGCACTGTGCTGTCTCACACTGAGGTACCCTTTTGCAATGTGCTGCCTTCTGTGGCACTACACTAACACTGCACTGAATTGTGTTGAACATAACTGTGCTCTCCCACTGAATGTCACTGCATGCTCCAACACTGCACTGTACTCTCACACCACAAGGTACTGCACAGCACTCTAACACTGCATCACATTGTGTGGTATTGAGCGCTCACACTTCATAACACTGCACGGCACTGCGCTCTCTCGCACTGCACCGCATTGTGTGGCCCTGTGCTCTCACACTTCATAACCCTGCACGGCACTGCGCTCTCTCACACAGCACTGTACGGCACTGCATTCTCCTGCACCGCACTGTGCTCTGAGGGAATGGCACCAGCCGGGCACTGCGTGGCCAACTCACATCCAGGATGGGCTCGTTGCAGAGGCCGCAGCGGGGCGAGAAAAGCTGGAAATAGTCCCTCTCACAGTAGGGAGCGCCATCCTTCTCGAAGAAGTTGCTGCCCCCCATCTCCTTCTGGCAGTGGGTGCAGACGAAGTGCTCGGGGTGCCAGGTGTTGCCCAGCGCCGTCACCACCTGGGCAAGTGCAGGGGGGGGGGACAGACGGACAGATAGATGGATGGACGCACACCCATTACCGAGAGAAGAAAAGACCCAGCTTCTCCCCCTTCCCACACTGGCCCCTCCCTTTCCCTTCTCCTGTCCTCCACTCCCCCCTCCACAGGCCCCTTCCTCCCTCCCCCCATGTCCCCCAACCCCTTCTCTTCCTCCAGATAGCCCCTCCCCTTACCTGCCTCCCCTCCCCCTCACACCCCACCTGGTGCTCCTCCTTTTCCCCCTGCCCCTTCCCCAGTGCTGCATGGTCCCACCCCACCCTCCACTCTGTGTCCTACCACATCCTCCGCATCTCCCACCCACTCTCCTAATCTGCCCCTCCCAAAACTGACCCCGCCCCCTCCCCAATCTATCCCTCCCCTAATCCACTTATGCCCACTCCCCAATCCTGCCCCTGATTGCTCCCAAGTGCCCTGCTCCTCTGCCCCACCCCAGCCCCTGAGTTCTGTACCCACCTCCGATTTCCCCCACATCTCCCCCTGGGTTCCCCCAGTCCTGTCCTCACCTGCCCCGCGATGGGTTTCTGGCAGGAGGCACACAGCCCCTTGGTGCTGGTGGAGATCCCCTGGCGGCTCAGGTCCGACTGCAGCATCACCAGCATGCTGTCCAAATTGCCACCCTGCGGGGCCGGCGCTGCTGTGGGGGCCGGGCCAGAGGGGCTGGGGCAGACGGACGACACCACCAGCTGCTGCGCCAGGGAGACTCGGGTGGGGGCCGGGGGCGGCGCAGCCGAGACCCCCGGGAGCTGGAAGGGAAGCAGCTGTGATACGAGGTGCTGAGCCATGCACCAAGCAGCGCCCAGGGGCGATACAGAACCACGCTGGGTCCCAACGGCGAGCGAGGCAGCGCCCGCCCCACGGCACCGAACCAAGCTGCCCGGATTGGCACCAGGCAGGTTGTACGGCCCTGCAGGAGCCATAACCACAAATGACACGAAACTGTTCCACAAAGCACCGGTTGCCCCCCCATTCATTGCCCCCACCTTTCCCCCCACCACCAGGAGGAACGCGACAGGCCACCAAATCGTGCCCGTCCCTGCCACACAGCATCTGAAGCACCACAACGCCTAGTGCCCCATGGCCACAACCAGCGCCCTGACTCCCTGCCCCCAACTCACTGTGCCAGGCATTCCGCCGACCCGCCACCCCAAACCCGGTCACAGCCTCTGCCACCCAGCCATGGCGTGTGCTGGCCAGTCAATGCCGCAGCACCCCGTTACCCACGCCAGGGCCACCCCGATCCATTTCATGCCACAGGCCAGGCCAGCCGCCATTCCACACCAGGAGGTGCCATTCCAGGCTAATACAGGTTTCTGCTCTACGCTGTACCCAGCTGCTGGGATATGGGGCACCCCGCCAGGTCATCCGTCACATACCTCGGAGTTCGGTGCCGCACCCGTTCCGGTTCGACAGAGAATCCCACACCGGGCACTTGCTGTGTTCACCTGTTCACCAGGCCAAACGGGCAGCGCCAGGCTGCACCATGCCATACAATGCCCAATGCCATGCAGTGCCATCCCAGCAAGCTACGGAGCCTTATGCTGCCCCGTGCATCACCACACCCAGGACAATGCCACCCAGCCCGGCCCCACAGCGGCAGCTCGCCGCCCCAGTGCTGTCCAATGCCAAACAGCACCACACGGCAAACAGCAGCAGGTCAGGCTGAGCCACATACCCGCGGTTGGGCTGCCGGAAGGCTGGTGCCAGGGCAGGAATGTACCCAGTGCCTGGGCTCCCGCAGGGTGGCTCTAGGCAGGGGACAAGCAGAGTCAGCCGCCCGCCACATGGGTGATCTCGCCAGGCCATTTCTGATCCCAGCCGGCTGCCAGCTCTCCCCCAGACTCATCCCTCCTGGCTCCCCCGGTGGGAGGGCACGTGCTTGTGCGCCAGCATGTCCTTTTTCACACTCACGATCACAGCCCCCGTCGCCCACGTTGGCACCAACACCTGTGGTTTCTCTCCCACTCCTGGATACTTGTACTAGTGCTCCGTGGCGCTGCAGCCACTTCCACACTCGCTTGCCCACCTGCTGGGTCGCTCTTTCTTGCACCCCCATTTGCACACACATCAATCCGCCTTTGCACTTGCTTGCACACACATACTGCGTGCACGGCTGTGGGCTCATGAACTGATTCCCACACCTGCTCTCTTACATGTTCATTTCCACCCCCACACAGACCCAAGATCCCTTGCATACTGACTCTCACACTAATTATGCACACTTATGTGTGCACACAGCTCCTTGCTCACTCATTTGTACATACTGCCCCTTGCACCCACACTCGCCCGTGTGCTCATTTGCACACTGCCCCTTGCACACACACTCTCCCATGCTCATGCACTGCATCTTGCACACTCATGTGCACATGCTCATTGGCACACATGCTCTTCCACTATCATTTAGAGGCACACTCAGACATACAATTTAACCCTCATTTGTGTGTCCATTTGCACACACCATTTCTCACACATGCTTTTCTACCCCCATTCCTGCACACACATTTGCATGCACACTCACCGCTTCTTGCACACATTTGCACACACATACTCCCTTATCCACATACCAGCCTTTGCTCTCTCTCTCACACACACACAAACACACAAGTCCCTCCTCTTGCACACACTCCCCCTCCCCATTGCTTCTTTTACTCCCACACTTACTGGTTCCCATCGGGGGACAGGAAGAGCCCTAATCCCATTAGACCCCCACCCCCAGACTGAGCCTCATCCCCCGTAGTGTGCCAGACTCACGTTGCTCTGGACTCTGAAGTCCGACAAGGAGGCCATGAGTTTGTCCAGCTCCAGGGTAGCAGATGTGGCTGATGGCTTCACAGGAGGTGGGGTGGAGCCAGCAGAGCTAGGGGGGAAACAACAGCATGGTCATTGGGTCCCCCAACGGCTCCCAGGAATCCCTCACCCCGCCTGAAATGCATACGCTTCTGGGGTGGGGCGCCAGGACTGATTATACAGGGCTCTTTCGCCTGGCACTGAGATGCAGCCACCTCTGGGGTGTTCCCCATTCAGCACTGAGGGATATTTAACCCCATGGACCAATGGCCAGAAATGGGAGGTTCACTCACCGGCTTGGGGACCCCCCTTCCCCAGCATCCTCTGACTTCTCCTTCCGCTTCTCCCCATCAGGGCCCTTGTTGGATGGGAACTGGGACATGATTTCATCTGGGGAAAAGACAGACAGACAAACACACACATACACAGTGTTTCCATTAGTTGCCTGCAGTGACCAAGCGTATCCACCAGGAGGACGTATTTCACAATCATAGGCAGAGATGCGCTAGGGCATGGAGTGGCCCCAATCCCAGTCCAGCAGAGCATGCCAGTGCCCCGGAGGGAGCCCGGATCCCAGCCCAGCAGGGGGCAGCGGTGCCCCGGAGCGGCAGTGCCAGGGGAAAGGGGGGTAGTGCCCTACCTGTGATGTTGAACTGCGTGGCGTTGAGCTCCTGCAGCAGCCGGTCCAGCTCACAGAGGCCGGCGCCCAGCACCCCGCTGGACGAGGAAAAGGGTGGCGCGGCTGGCTCCTTGGGCCGGGGCGAGCGGGGCTTGCAGACAGTGCTGGGGGTGAGCAGAGGGTGAGCAGAGTGCAGGGAGCAGCCCCCCTCCCCCCAGCCACCTTGCAGGGAGGAGCCAGCTCCCGCCTGGCCCGGGGAGCAGTGGGGAGGCAGGGCGGGATGGAGAAGCTATTTATAGGGAGCCTCTTAATGGAGTGGCTGGACCAGGGCCAGCAGGGACTGGGCCAGAGCCAAGGGGAGGCCTGCCTGCTGCTACCCCTGCCCCACCCCTGCCTGCTTCTCCTTCCCCACCCCATCCTCCCCAGCCCCAGAAACCCCAACCCGCCCGCTTCTTCTCCCCTCCCTCTGACCTCACCCGTCCACCCCCACCCACTTCTCCCCCACCCTACACACCCCACCCCTGCCAGTCTCTCCCTCCCTTCCCCCAGTGAGCTGCCCCCCAGCTCCTTACCCACACGCATACCCTTCACTCCCTCCCAGCACTGCCCCCTGTACACCTAACCCAGCCAGTGCTAGGGACCCACCTGTAGAGATGCTCTTTGTCGCCCCCGCTAGGCGGGGCAGAGACAGGCGGAGGGGCCACGGACATGGCCTGCAAAGAGAGAGACATGGGTGGGGGGTGCGAGGAGTCACTCAATAGGCCTCTATTCACCAGTGACATGAGCTTTCTGCATCACAGAGTAACCAAGGAGATGCAGCCACCTCTGGGGTCCACCCTGCTCCCCGCAGCTCAGCGCCCCCTAGCACCACACTGGCGCATTGGGGCCAGGCCAGCACTGAGAGGGGAGAGCGCCCCCTACAGAGCCCTCACCCCACTCCATGCAGCACAGCGCTCCCTAATGTCACACGGACTGTGAAGAGAAAGAGCCCCCTCCTGAGCTGCCACCCTCCTCCCTGCAGTACCCCCCTAGTGTTACCTGCTGTTGAGGGTTGTAGGGCGGCGGGGGGGGCCTGGCCTCAGGCATCCCATCCTGCCCCAGCCCGTTGGCGTGGGCTGCCCCAGAGTCCGTGAGCAGTACTGGGCGCTTGGAAATGTGAGAGGTTGTGGTCTCCAGATCAGCCAGCAGGGCATCTGTCGGGGGAGCAGAGAGAGGCGGGGGGTCGGGGAGAGGCTAGGATGGATCTGGGGGGGACTGCTGGGGGGGACGGGGGCACAGAGAGGGAGCAGGGGCTGTGGGAAGCAGAGACAAGGGACAAGAAAAGGAAGAGAGGACGCCCAGCTCTGGGGCTGCGGAATTAGCATCAAGATCTGGACCTTCCCAAAGCGGGGGGAAGGCCCCTGGAGTCCTGATCCTCTATCCCCCACTACCCTCCTGGAGCTGGGATAGAACCCAGGAGTCCTGACTCCCAGCCCACCCCCCCTTACCAAAAGACTCCACTGCCCTCTCAGAGCTGGGCTAGAACCCAGGCGTCCTGACACCCAGCCCCGTGCTCTGACCACTAGACCCCACTCCTCTCCCAAGAAGAGATTCAACCTTTAGCAATACAAGTTCCCTAAGGGCGGCAGTGCCCTAGAAGTATCCACCTGTGCTGGGACGGGGGGCTGGGTGAGGCGCTCATACGGTACGTACCAAACACCACTAGACGGGGGCGAAGCGGGAAAGAAGGGGAGGCAGGGTCACCTGGAAAAGGAGACAGGACGGAAGGAGACGGGGGAGCAGATGGGGAGGAGGGACAGAGGGGCACTGGGATTAGCGCATTCCATGAAGGGACAGTTCCCCGCCCACCCCCTGTACCGCTGAGCCCCCCTGCCCACGCCCTGCACCTCCTAACACCACAGCGGGGCCTCCGCTGCCTATGCGGGGAGAGCGCCCCTACCCCTCTCCCTGGAGATCTCCCCCCGCTCCTACAATCACTCCTTTGTGGGAACATTTTCCACCACAGACTGAGCCCTACAGAGGCCTTTTCATTCCCCAGCAGCCAGGAGCAGCGAAGCCAGGGAGGGGGCAGACCACGGATCACACACCGGCCTGATTCAGCCCTCACACGCATTCACAGGAGACCCTACAATAACACAGCGCTCACTGCCCCTCTACCATAACAACCCTTGCTGTGCTCACAGGAGACCCTACAATAACACAGAGCGCCCACTGCCCCTCTACCATAACAACCCCTTGCTGTGCTCACAGGAGACCCTACAATAACACAGAGGGCCCACTGCCCCTCTACCATAACAAACCTGCACAGCGTGCACAGGAGGCCCTACAATAATGGCCACTCTACCACAACAAAGCAGTATTCTCAGCAATTGCTTATGGGAGACCCTACAAAAATAAAGCAGTGCTTGTAACCTCAGTGCTTATGAGCACTCTGCAACAACAAACCATTGTGTGTAAATTCACATCCCTACGACAAACTATCATGCGTAAATACAAGTCCCAACGACAAACCAACATGTGTAAATGTGAGACCCTACAATAACAAACCAGCACATGCCACCCCTATCTCACACGCGGCCCCACCCAAGCAAACAGCTCCTGCTGCTCACGAGCCACCCTACAATAACAAACCAGTGTATACAGCCTTGTGCTCACAAGAGACCCTACGATAACAAAGCAATCGCGTCAAAGTCCCTGCAGCAAACAATTGAGTGGTCAGCCCCAAGGCCCACAAGCAACCATATCAAAATAAAGGAGTCCTTGTGGACAACCCTACAATAACAAAGGAGTGCCACTGCCAGCAGCCCCGGAGATCTCGAAGAGACCCTACAATAATAACCCAGCATGGGCAGCCCTCCCAAGTGACCCTACACTAGCAAACCACTGCTTGTAGTTGCAGCACTCACAGGAGACCCTACAACAACAAACCATGATGAATACAGCCCTTCTGTCAATCACAGGAGACCCTACAATAACAAACCAGACCTGGTGATAGAGGGGGGAAAGTGAGATTCAGGTTTAGTGAGCCCAGGGTGGGGGTTGCCCATCCAGCCTCTATGGCTCCGCCCCCCCCCCACACAGCCAGAACTCCCCCTCACCCAGTGGTTCCCCCAGTCCTGGCCACACCTGCTGTGGGCTGCCAGCCCCCCCAGCTGGTTTGGGGCCAGGAAGGGGGGGTAGCTCCACTCCTGCTGGGAGGGGGTGCTGGGGAAATCTGGCGAGGGGGGTGAATCCTGGGGTGGGAGCTTAGTGACCCCCTCACACACCTCTATCCCGGCACACACATGTCTTCATTGCAGGACTCACTGGGGCTCTTACCTGGGGAGGGGATGGACAACCTCAGCACCCCATCCCCCCGTCTAGCTCCCTCCCCTGGGATCCAGCCCCCCCCCTTAGGACTCAGACCAACCCCCAACCCAGATCCTATATCCTGGGACCCCCTCCCACAGCCCTGCCCCCCAACCTCCTTCCTGGGATGCAGCCCCTGCAAAACCCTTCCTTTGATACAGCCCCCCGGCACTGCTCCCCCAGCCTCTTTCCTAGGACACAGCCCCCCAAAACCCTTCCTGGGATGCAGCCCCCAACCCCCCTTCCTAGGACACACCCACCCATCCCCCAATAACACAGCCCTCCCACAGCCTGCCCCCACCCCACCCCTGCCCTGTGCCCCCATTCCCGGGACACAGCCCCGGCATCTCTTCCGGCCCCCAGCTCTGCCCCCCGTGTTAAGGGTGGAAGAGACGGGACCCCGCGGCACATGGGTAGAACTCTCTGGGGGGGGGGGTAGCAGGGAGGGTGCTGCTGGGCCGGGGGTGTCCATGGTTATTAGCGCCCCCTGCAGGTTGGGCCCCACCGCAGGCACCAGGAAGCCACAGGAATATGGCGAGAAATTCCGTCTCCTCCCGATCGGGACAGGCGGGGGGG